ATGATAAAATGCAGCGGGAAATGTAAAACAAGTTCTCAGGCGGGGACAGGCTATGCACACTATAGGGTCTTTGATCATTTTGCAATGTAAATCACACGTGACACATTTAAAAACTATTGTACCATAAGTTTGGATACCCTAACCTCCTCTTGCAAAAGGTACTTAGACTAGACCTAATCAGGCATACCATGCCAAAACATTACCTAATCTTGATGAAAAAGGGCAGATAACTTATGTAGTTCATCTAAAATATGCCACTTTAGCCAGTCATCATTTACCTTTAGAGGGTGACTGAATATTAATATCATGGTGCCTTCTCTTTGCTTTAACATGAGATATTGTGATTGATTTTGTGAGGGGAAGCAGAATTCCCCTCACAACAAAGTCTAACTTAGCTGTCAGAAATCTGAGTGCTTTATTGCAGTAAAGCTGTGGGCAGGCAACAAGTGATTCCCTTTTGATACGTTGTCTACACACATACCCAAGTGTAGTAGTTGTGCTTCTGCAGCACAGCAAATCCCTTCAAAGTAAAACATCACATAAGCTACAAACAAGTTAGTTAGGCTGTGCAGTGTTAATCAGTCAGACTGTATGCTAAGAAACTAAATGGTTTTCAAAAGCAACTAACTGCAATGGAGAAGGGTAAATGCATTAATATGGTTATACCTGAAATTGTTAGTATTGTTATTTATATGGATCAGTACGCATTTCTTAAATCAACAGAACCTGAACTGAGCTAATCATCAGCATTCTTTGTTACAAATTATCACACATAAATTGTGATGATTAGTGGTAATCCTCTATGAAAGAATATAGCTCTTTAGGAATTAAAAGTTTATAAAAGAAACCAGGAAGGGAAATTACACATCCCAAGGCAATTTCTCTTTTAGAAAAAGAAGCAAATCAACCATGAAATGACTGTATGATGACCAGTGAAGTCTGATGATGCTAAAGGTTGACTAGGGAAATTGGGAGCCAATCACCAGCAACCTTTAAGGCCGCACCTTTTTTGTCTTTTATCCCTACAGCTGAGAACATATGAACATGAGGAAAACTGATTTTTTTTTTTAATGTTTGATAACAGCACAACACTGCAGTCATCCCACTGTGCCTTCTAATGAACTGACCTGCTAAGGTGGACCATATGTTTGTGAAATGTTAACATAAAGTCCTACTTTATGGTATTATACTTTGTTAGTTATCCTAATAAACTGGACATTACAACCTTTTTGCAAAACTTGCAATGCAAGGCCAGTTACATTAAATTTCTTAAGAAAGATGACAAGTTGCTTCTCATATCTGAAAAATGTTTAGATTCTACTTTTGCATACGTTAAATTTCTGTGCACACTGGACAGAACCCAGTGGTTTTCTAAGCCTTAGTAACAATCTCAAGAGCTGCTAGAGATCACTAATGTATTCTAATCTCCTATGATGAATCATTATGCATTTTAGCAGTCAGAAAGGAGAATCTTCTCTTTCCTAACACCCAGATTTAGGTTTAAGCCGCCCATGACACATTAAATTAAGGAGGCAACAAAAGCACCAAAACGCATGTTATAAGATGTGAAGAACGGTGTGAAGGTGTTAAGAAGCTAATCATTAGATTTCTGATTCATATTATAGTGGGAGGCTTGAGGTGTTGCTGATAATGATGTGTAAGGATAGGAAGCAACGGTGAGTTTAGGGTAAATGTGTACATATGGATAAAAGCATAAAAGCAGATGGGCAGGTAAAAGGTAATATTAGGTGAAACAGAAATTAGCAGAATGACCAGAGGGAGCATGAAAGTCTCCCTGAGACTGCTGCCAATTGGGCTAGACATGTTCAGTATTCTTTACTGAGACTTGCAGTAGTATTTGTGACAAAGTCATGGCACACAGAAAAACAGTCAAGATGTGTATTTTTAGCCACTTGATGAATGTTAAGTCCATCTGTCAGGTGGCCAAACTGACTGGTCATTTAGTTCCTGAAAAATAGCTGCTAGGTGCTAAAAGTAGTGAGAGTGCTGAGACTTAATGATACACTTTATGTGTGGACCCCAGGGCCAAAACAATGAGCTAAAATTTTCTAAAAGATGAGCTGAAGACTAACGTGTTGCTTTACATTGGCAGCAAAGCAACAAAACAGAGTGTTTATAGGAAAATGTTTGAATAATACATTAGACGACAACTGAGGGCTGGCTCTTTTTGTCTTGTTTCTTAGTATTAATTTACATTTTGTCACAGCGTCTCACTGTCTTGTATACAGGTTGTTTTTCATCAGTGCAGAATGCTCTATATCGTACATTATGTTCTCCATATTTTTACTGCATTTTTTTTCCAACCATGTGTAAAACTTCCTACTTCCTACTTCGAACTCAGTATGTTTCCCAAACACAATGCAGGTGTTCTGCATGGGGAATCTGTAAAGTAGGATTAACAATTAAGAAAAGTACCTTTAATCTCAGGGCTTCGGGTTGACAGCTTTGAAGTCAGGTTAATATAAATTCAGGGTTTATCCAGGTGCAATTTCCATAGAAATAACAAAACCTAAAGAAATGTCCTTCACATTTAAAGTCACACTTCTGTATGGGAAAAAAAAACATTTTTGTCTCCAGGTTCTTCAGCACAGAATCACACAGTGTTTACAAGATGATATACAGCAGAGAAGAAAAGAGGGGAAAGGTACCAGGGATGTTGTGATTACATGGTCAGTGTCTTAGACCACCAGTTAATAACTATCATAACCTATAACTGCTAAAGAGCTTTTTTTTTTGCATTGAGGCAACAACAAGTAAGAAAAATTAGCAGAGTTATCACAATTGGAAAACAAAGACTTTCACACTGCTTCCATTCACCACTGGATCACCTTTACTGTTGAAAAAATAACAAACCTTCTATCTAATCAACAAAGTAAACCTCAGGTTCAGGTGGCAGTCCCTCAGTGGAAAGATGGGTCTTCATAGCCCTAGCGATTCACTTCACATTCAGCAATTCCATTAGGAAAAATCCAAGGTAGAAAGGCCAACATTTGAAACTCCAGTGCTGGGGTTTATAATGCATCTTGGCACCTTAAAGTGAAGCCACCTTAGCCTCAAGTAATATTTTAATGGAATCCTCAAACACTGAAGGTCTGTATAAATCATCAAATGAAACCATCTGTTTATGGACAAAGTCCAAAGCATTTTACTGTTATTCTTTTTCCCCACTTTGGCACCAAAACAAATAACAATAAAATCCCAAGAACCAGTTTATGTACGTATTTATTTATTTTTGCTGTTGAGCTGACATTGGGCAAGAGGGAAGGTTCACCCTGGACGGGTTGCCAGTCTATCACAGGGCTGACACTTAGAGACAGACAACCACACACACCCACACACACACTCCTAGGGACAATTTAGAGTCACCAGTCAACCTAAGCCGCATGCCTTTGGACTGTGGGATGAAGCTGGTGTAACACAGATGGAACCCACACAGGGGGGAACATGAAACTCTGCACAGAAAGGCCCCGGGTTGGGCTGGCCTGGAACCTTCTTGCTGTGAGGTGACAGTGCTAATCATTGCATCACCATGCCGCGCTGAGGTGTATCTCCTTAAACATATTTCACTGATCATGACCCCTCCCTCTTTTTGACCTTGGACATGGTCAGGTTAGATTAGTCAAAGATAGTAGCAACAGCACAAATAATATTTTAAATGTGATTTGCCTTTAATGATGGAAGAGAAATGAATCTTTGCACATCCTCTCTGTGTTCCACACTCAGCATTTCATATGTCTTCCAACACTCACAAACTATCTGAAAAGCCACGGTTAGTCATCACAGTACCAGTAACTGGAGGTTAGTAACAGCAATGTCTGCTTCTGTTTCGTCACTCTCTTCAAAGGTATCAGGTTTTTACTAGATCCTCATATCCTTAATACAAACACTATCAATGTGCATATCATGTACAGTATACTGTAAAAATAAAGGGGTGGGGGGTGATAATTAAGAGATTTTGCAGTAAATGGCAACATCATGCTTGGCTGGGTTCCATTTCAGTGTGCCACATCCTCTCCTTTAACCTCGCCGATACGATTTGGACTGCTGAATGTTGGCAGGGAACTAGGAGCTGCTCTTATCAGTTCAAGCACAATGGCAGGGATTGATGCAAGAGTACAGCTTTAATGATTCTGGATTTATGCCCCTGGGCTGTAACCACCTTGACCAAACCTTGAATACCCATGTGCAGCCCTAAGGCCCAAGAGTTGGTTCTGCCATTTTGAGACCACTTATAAATAAATAAATGACAAAGTTCTTGCATCACTGTGTGCAACACTATAATGCAATACTGATCAAATTTGCCACAAAAAAATTGACTGAGGCAATGTTATGCCTATGTTAGAAGCACATTTACTAGTATGGTTATGCAGCAATAATGCCACAAACCTTTGTTGAATGTTATAAGACAGAACTACTACAACCACCCTATCTGCTGAGTTATTAACAGAGATGTCAAAAGCCATGTAATTTTTTTAATCTGCTTTGACTGTCAGCAGATTCAAGAAAGCTGTGACAGTGAAAAGAACATTGTGTTCTGCTGGCCTATTTAAAAATCCACCCACGGATTCACCTGTGGGTGCATTTGTATATAACTACCATCTTCAGGATCGAATCTGATATAGTGCAATGATGCCAGAAGCTATTTCAAACATGTCACAGTTCCAATAGTGTCGATATAGCCTCTCTTCTTCACAAAATCTGGACTGTATATAATCAAAGAATGGAAATGCAAAAAGAGCCACACTGTCATATCGGTTTCCTCATCCATTTCCCTAAATGAAAGGGATTCTTATTTTCAGAACAGCTGGTCATTTTAAACCGGTACTGACTGAAAATCCTTGACCTGTGTTTATTTATGGAATATTCATAGCCAACATGTGGTTACGAAAATCTATAACCAGTCATGCATGGAGCCCTGCTGCTTCCCCCCCAAGGAATACATGTATTCATGCTAACAGAGACACAAAAGATTAACTTACCACACTGGAACAGAGGCAACAAACATGTCTGCTTTCTACCAGGAGAGCGGGTAGGTGCCTACACAGATTTAGTCTGAAACATAAAAAGAAAATGCATCAGTAAAGACACTCGATATGAATGACTTGTGTTATTCCACTTGACAGGCACATCAGCAACAACTGGAATGTCAGTATGCAGAGACCTTGTCATCTACCCATTGTTGTCACAGAGCGTCAGTGCGATGTCAAAACCCTAAAATCTAAATCCTAGACTTTATGTAACTCCCATCTATGATTCCCACATATTAAAGGACAAAGAACATTAATTCAGTGCAGTAAGCTTGTACATTTCATTTCAAATCTTTTTTTGATTTATGAATCACTGCACTGCTCAATAAAAGCTTTTAAAATGCCACAATATTCTTTATCTTCGAACATATTTCTTTCCAGATCTCAAATGTATTGTAGCTCCAATTTGCACCAAAAAAATTTGGCATATTCCTAATATGGAGTAGTCTAGTCCTGTAAAAGCCTCCAAATCATTTACGAACCTACCAACCCCAAAATCTCCCGATCTGTGATTGGTATAGTCATTGATATCAGCAAATCATAATGCCCTTCAGCTGCTGCCAGAGAGACCATGATATAAAACTGCATACAGTGCACATTAGTAATGTATTTTATCCATGCCTAGCCCCATCTGATGTTATGTCATCATTCCACTTCATGAAAGAAGTGTCTCATTGATATTTTCTACACATTTAGTGTACACATGCATATACACTGTCAGTTGTTTTGCAAACAACACTAAAGCTACTTGTCATTACAGGTGAACTGCTTTACCCGTAGTTTCCCCGATAAGTATGCTAGCAGTAGCACCGGCTGGCACTACTGCTGTCAACCAGAAGCACTTTAACCACTAGAAATATGCCTCTGGCCTCTGAGTAGCAACATTCTAAACACCCTAATGTCATTTTTTATGCTAAAACAATGTCTGCTCACTGTGGAATGTTTAGGTTCTATTTGGAAAAACCTTTTTTCTTTTTTTTTTTTATAAATCTAACAATGATACAGCTATTGGTTTGTGTTCTCATTTCTAAATGCTTAACATTTAACTTCTAAACTCTTAGATTTTTTTATTATATTTTATGAGATTTAGTTTTAAGTAAGGAGAAAAATAACAAGTACAGAGAAACCTCAATCTGCCATTCACTGCATCTCCACCTTCCTGACAGCAATGTCTTGAAATAATGAGATCTCTGACCTGAGAGGTATGAGCCAGCAGAAAAAGCCACAACAGTCTTACACTCTAAAAATCTAACCACCATGCTGTCCGTTTTAATGACAGCCTTGTATCAAATTATTGCGGGATCTGCTGGATTATTCTGGCAATTTTCACAAAGGGAAAATAATGGCACTATCCTGGGAAAGGTTATGTGATGAGAGGGGGGTAAGAGGATGAGAAAGAGACAGAAGATAGAGGGATGACACAGCACCAGCATGAAATCTTGAGTGTGCCAAGGTCAGCAGAACTCACACTATGAATGTAACACTGCCAAACTCACAGCCAGAGAAACACAAACGTGCAAACACTCACACACAGACACACACAGATATTACAGCACACTGTCCATATTAGCTCTTCCCTGAAAACAACCTGCTGAGAACAGCTAAATTACCACTGGGCTCACACCTGCCTGTACTGTTTGTGCCTACACCTACGTATGCTCTCTAGTGCTTTTTGTTTGTCTGATTGCATTGGTCGCTGGTCATTTTGAGTTCTTCCCTTCGCCTTTTGCTCTAGCTGCCTTGAGACAGGGTCTGTCCTCTTGTTGTGAACACCAGGATATTTATGTCAGTGCAAGCTGTCGTGTCATGGGGGCTGCTAGTTCATCTGAACGGCCAATTTTTTGATTAGTTTAATACACTTCTCCTGGCAGATCTGTTTGGGTCATACTGTATATGAACTATGTGGTTGGCTTGTTTGTTTCACCCAGAACATCAGCAAACATCAGTGTTACTGACTTTAACAATATTATATTTTGGCTATTTTGAACAAATGCACTTAATAAGAGCTCTCACCATTTCACACATACAGGTTTTAAATTAACATCACTGACTATAAAAGAGACTAAATAAAACACAGATCACCAAAAATGTTTTATCTCCTATATGCATACATAAATCCTTGACTGAACACAGAAGTTGGATTAATGCTTAACCCAAAGTACTGCTACACTGGCACGTTTCCATTTCTTTTGGCAACCAAACACATTGGCATCATTTAGCTAAAATCACACCTTCCACTGCGCATCAAAGGACATTACATTCTATTCCTCCCACTTGCAACTGCCACTTAATTTCTTAATAATGCGTTACTGATCAAAGGGTAAACGATTTATGTTGTGCTTGCTGAATTTACTAGGTATGTTACACATATTTCTGATGCATTACATCTTACAGTGAAATGGAATTCAGGACAGCTGCAACACACAGTGTACTCAAAAGTAATTTGACAGAGTATTGCATTGTGTTGAATTGAACGTGTTGCTTTTATTGAGCCCATGTGATCAACTGCACTTAAAAAAATAATCCAGGTTTCTGAATCTACTTAGTGACAAATAAGGTATGACACTATTAAAGAAGATTTTATTTGTTTTATATATTTGATTTACTAGGGCTTCTTTTTTGCATGTGCAGTATTTTGATTTTGATTTAGTGGCTAAATCAGAGTTATTTTGAGCAGCAAGAAAATCTCTTCATATATCAGAAGCTAGTTTTTGTAAAAGGTGTAATTTTAGTTTGAGTCTTGATTTAGTCATGAACAAAAAACTGTGATGAAAAGTTTGCATTAAGAAAACCGACGCTGTTGGACTTGACTTTTGCCTGGATTACAGAAGAAAGAAAGGAAAGAAATTTTTGTACATTTGATGATGTTGTTGCACACTGTACACTCATGCATACCTCAGGGACAAAAACAGAGCTGGTAGGATTTCAAACAAAACCTCCCAAAACTGATGGACCACACATATACAAAAGTTTTTTTTATCAAAATACACAGTATACATATACAGTGCACTGTATATACAGTACAAGCTATTTTAGGATCCTACGCCATAGAAGCATTGTGCAGTGAAATGTCTTCTCACTTTACTTTTGACTACATCTTGTTATACTGCTGGGGTTTGGAGCTAACATATCAAGTGCTATCATCCTTCCCTCTAATAGGACTGCTGTGACCTGACCTCATGTTCCATTTTCAGTGATGCCATTTTGGATCCGCTTCATTATTATGTCGTAAACACAAGATGCACATATTGTACACTGCATTCATCCCATACAAACTATACTCCAAAAAGGTTATTTATTGTTTCAATATAATCCATTAAAGACTCATCCTCTAGTCATTTTATAAAATTTCAGTGAGAGTGAAAAACAGTGTTCTTGTTTGGCAGCATGTTGAGCTAGTTATCAGTCTTAAAACATTCATGCTTATTCAACATGCACTGTGCAGACAGGGAGAATAGGGGAAACATTTCAACATTACAAAGCATCACGCTATAAACAGAGTGCCTTTTATAATCATTTCAAAGGCCTCCCTTAAGTACCAAAGTGCTTTTTTTGTTTGCACCAATATGGATAGGGAGTTCTGCACAACATTCAGATTTTGTCACAGCAATTTAATCAGTGTTTCCTTTCCTACTCCTGGTCAAAAGATATTAGAACTATTATAAAGTATATATAAATTTATATTTCCTGCCTGTTAATTGCATTCTTCATCACAATTTCTCGGGAGTTCCCTGAAGGCAACAGACACTAAATAATTGATGGACCTGAAAGCTGTTTGGCTCTGAGAGGGAGTGCCTGCAACTCTCTCGGGAAACAAAAAGCAGCGGCAACTTTGAAACCAGCGGAAGCGGGCAGGCCCCTGTTAGAATTAGCACTGTGTTCCATCGTGCCAAATATTTGGTGCTGAGACAATGCCATGGTTTCATTACAATGCCTGAGCCTCACAGGCAGAAACATCAAAGGTATCCTTTGTCTCAGCCTCAGTTTACCAAGGCATTGAAGAGATGGAGACAGAGTTAAGACTAATTTCAAAGAGAACTACTGACAGTTTTATTATGAACATGTAAGAAGAAGACATAATGAAACACTACAGTGAGCACCTTGAGGTAGAAAAACTCTCTGTAGATGTCCAATCTAAAATGGAAAGCATGTTTTGTGTTGCTCTTCTTAAATAATTAACTTATGAACAACTCTTTTATAAAGCTACAAACAAGAGAACCCAAACCTGCTGTACCAAAACCACCAATTCAAAATCTACAAAGCTCTGACTTGTGTTGCAAACCGTGGCAACTTCTTCATGTTCAGGTATCTAGATTCAAATGCCCCAAGATCAGACAGATAACTATGAATTTTATATACTGTAGTTGAAGTTCACACAGAAAAACAGTATGCAATCATAGGTGGCCCTGTAATTTCTAAAGGACTTACATGGAATCACAGTTATTTTCAATTTGTTTAAATGGCATGCCAACCCTGAATGAGATACAGCAAAAGATGCTCAATAAAATATCTGGAGCAGACTTATAAACAGTGTCACAATTCCCAGTGGGACCTTTACAGCATACTTTTAGGAGCCTCCAAATCTCAAGAATCAGTATGTAGGCCACAGTAGAAAGGTTTTAGAACACAAAGAGAACACACGATTCAGCCAGAAGTTTTAAATGCCACAACAGAGACATAGTGTTGGACACTGCTGAAGGAAAATGATTGTATCCAGTCAAACCTATCTCGTATAAATCCAACACAGAGTGATTGGAAGATATTCCACTCAAGTCTGGATCAGTATTTCACTGAAGGAAAGAGGGAGTATAACTAAACTCTTTAACACTGATTAATGTGTAATAGAAAAAAAAATGGTGCTGTTTACATAACTCCCTATACTGTATATCACATAGTTCTAGCAAGTTCCCAGTATGAAACAAGTGGCATCATAGTTATTTATCTCCACAGCTACATGTAATCCATAAAGAATATAAGAACAAATTAATTTGTCCTGACAAAAAGGCAGTAAAAATTTAAGCGTAC